TCCCCTCACAGCTGTCACCTGTCTAGGTGGCATCCAGGGCCACAGGCTGCACCAGCCATTTTCTGGGGCCATCACAGGAGTTGTGGATTAAATATGGCCCCTCCCTGGGGACCTGACCCTCTGTGCCTGTCCATGAAGCCCCATCCGTCCTCCAAGGAAAGCATTCGAGCTGTTCATGGGGGTCCTTTCATTGCAGGGACCACAGGGTCGTCCTGGAGAACTGGGGCCTCAGGGACCCCCTGGACCTCCGGTAAGGAAACCTTCTCCCGGGGTGGGTCCCTGTCTCCTCTGTTGCCCCCTATCGCCTGGCATTCCCACAGTACCCACCAGGGGCATGGAGGCACAGAGCCTTCCCTGGGTCCCCCAGGCAACTCTGGGCCTGGGGCCGGCTGCTGGACCCTGTGTCCTTACTGGGTCACCGGGGGTAGACTTCCCCGGCTCATGCTCTGCGGTCAGCCACAGGGCAGCTGGGAGGATGTCAGCATGCAGGTTGCTGCCCTTTGTCCCCGCCCTGGAGAGCAGCTCTGCCTAGAGTGGCTGCCCCCCACCCCACCCCAGTGGGTCCAAGCCTTGATTCTGCCCTCATTTTCTCCCATGATGGATCAATCTTTCCTCCCTCCCTCTCCCTCTGCTCACTCTCTCCTCTCTCCTCTATGTCTCTGTCTCTCCTCTCTCCTCTATGTCTCTGTCTCTCCTCTCTCCTCTTTCTTTCTCTCTTCTGTCTCTCTCCTCTGTGTCTCTCTTTCTCTTCTCCCTCTGCAGGGACAAGATGGAGTCCTTGGGGTACCGGGTGCAGCTGGAAACCCGGTGAGTCCTCATGTCCGCCCGCTGCTGACTCCCCAAAGTGGACAGGCCCCCAGGGACTGGAAAGGAAGGCGAGAATGGTGGTGGTACTGTGGTTAAAGCAGTTGGCTGCTGTTTGACAGGTCGGCAGTTCAAACCCACCCACCACTCTGTGGGAGGAAAAGGAGGCCTCGGCTTCCATTAAGCCATAGAGCAGTGAAAACCCTCACCCGGGCTTAGAGCAGCCTGCAAGGTGATGTGAGTCCAGATCAACTCTGAGGCAGTGGACTTGGGCTTCTGGGTGTGGTCTCTTCTAACCAGTAGTGAGGACACAGGTCTGGGCTCCCATGGGCACTACGTACACATGTACATGTGTGTATGTGTGTGTGTAAATGTGTGTGTACATGTGTGTCCAGAGTCCAGTGTGGGCACAACACGGGGGTCGGCTTACACTCTTTCTCATGTGTACACACCACATGGACATACACGCACACAGATGCACACTCACTTATACTCACTGTCTCATGCACACACATACATGCAAACATAGCCACACACTTCACAATCACATCACATATACACGCAGACCCAACCACACACCAACACGGACACAGTCTAACACGCTCTTATCCACCCACCGTATGCCTGAACACACCCAAATACTTTATGCACACACATCATACGCACACTACACATATACTCACATCAGGAACACACATAGACACCGGCTCAGACTCTCACTCACCTTCTCTCTCTTCTCTGTCACACACACACACACACCTACACACATACCCGCTCACACTCATGCATACTCATATATTCACACACTCCATGCTCTCAAACAGGCATGCTCCGACACACACACACACACACACACACACACACACAACACGTATACACACCACACACAAACACACACTCACCACACACATATACACACCATCAGCACAGACACACGCTCACTGCATACATACATACACACCTTCACCACACACTCAATACCCCCTCATCAAAGGCACGTGTGCGCACGCGCGCGCGCGCGCACACACATACACACACACATACCTGTGCCTCATCAGATGGACTTCCCTAACCCACTCCACACATGGCCTGCTCCCCTCCAACTATGCTCCACAAGTTGAGCTTGGCTGAGTTGTGGCTTGTCTGGGTACCACCAAAGAAGGTTCTAGATATGTATGTGGTAGGCTAGAGGCAATTCCAGAAGGCCATGGTGAATGGGGTCCCAGGCAGCCCCTCAGGCTTGGAGAGAGAGAGGGAGCTCTTCTTGTGACCCACACCCTTTTTGTCTACACAGGGTGCTCCTGGATCTGTGGGTGCCCCGGGCCCTAGTGGTGCCCCGGGGAGTGTGGTGAGTAGGCCTGACACCAGAGAGGGGGGCTCTGGAGTCTCAGGGTTGTGTCAGGGGCTCCTGTGTGAAGCAGGGCATTGGGGTGGACTCTACCCTGGGAGTCAGAGAACAATGGATCTGTTTTCGTCTCCATCAAGCTCAGGGGCCGAGGTGTGGTCGTTGACAAAAAGTGCGCCTGGTTACCATTGCATGGAGACCCCACCTTCCCTGGTATCCTTGAAGCTCAGCATAGCAATGTCTTTCCTTCTCCAGGGCCCCCCTGGCATCAGAGGCCCCCCCGGGAAGGATGGGGAGCGTGGGGAGAAGGTAAGGACAATAGACCTCTGTAAGTCAGCATCCAATCTGGACATGTCCAGAGGCCAGCGGGGGATGATCCAGCCTCAGGCAGGGCCCAGTCTGACAAGCCAAACCCACCGCTATGGGTTGATCCTGACTCTTGGGGCCCCTCTGGGACAGGGGAGATCTGCTTCTGTGAGTTTCCAAGGTGCACACCCCCGCTGTGAGATTTCCAACACGGATCCACTGGCCCACCAAGGCTCCTTCCTCACTGCCATTGAGTCAGTGCTGACTCCTAGCGACTCGCTAGGAGAGGGTATGACTGTCCCTTACCTGTGGCCTTCTGAGACTGTGACTCTTTACAGGAAGAGAAAGCTTGGTGTGGTTTTGAACTGCTGACCTTGCAGTGAGCAGCCCCATGTGTAATTCCTTTGGGACCCAGGCATCCCCCAGAGACCTTCCCAGTAGATGGCATGGAGTCAAATGAAGACCACCCACCAGGGAACTCGCCGGATAAAATGACTGGCCAGCCTGCGGACACCATTCTGGGGCTGTGGGCCTTGGGGGACTGGATACCACTTTGTTCTTCCAGTGGCATGTGCTTGGTAGCCCCTTTCCAGGCTGGTGGTTCAAAGCCCACAGGCCCTCCGTGGGAGGAAGGGGAGGCTAGCTCCTCCTGTAGAGATGTACAGCCTCAGAACCCTGTGAAGTAGTTCTTCTCTGTGCTACGGGGTCAGAAGGAACTCAAGGGCAGAAGGTTTGAATTGTGAGGCAGGTGCAAACACTTTGGGGGCAGATAAAGCACTGTCCCAGACTCTGCATGGACAGGTGTCCAGCACCTTGGGCAGGTGAGGGAGGCCCCATCCCTGTCCGCTTTAGCGTGACCCCCGCCTATCTGACGCACTGGGCGTGATTCAGCACAAGCCATTGCAAGCAGGATGTCGGTGAACTAGAAGGGTTGACCGAAGGAGGATATGTGCAGGATGGCTGGTCATTCAAGCCCCCCCTCCCCCGGTGGCACAACCATTCAAATGCTTGACACAAAGGTCGGAAGTTCAAACCCCAGCAGCTCTGTGTGGGGTGGGGGTGGGGGCAGGATGCGGCTGTCTGGTTCTGTCACGATTGCAGTTGGGGACCCCCAGGGGGAAGCTGTCCTCTGTCCTGTGGGGTCCCCGGGAGTTGGAGTTGACTGGGCAGCACTGAGGTTGGTTTGCGGGGCTCGATTCTGAGGTGGGACATGGGTCGACGTGAACTGGGTGCCGGCGGGCACAGTGCTGAGAATGCTGGGCTAAGAAGTGTGAGTTGGAACCTGGCTGCTGTGCTGTGGGAGAAAGGCGAGCGAGTGTGGCCCTGTAAGGATCCCAGCCATGGAAGCCCAGCGACAGTTTGCCTCTGTCCAGTAAGTTGGCTCCTCTCCTGATCTGCTCCTTGTCTGGGTTTGGTTTAGCATCTCTGCTCTGAAATCCACGGGCTGTTACCATGCTGGGGTCGCTAGGGGGAGCCAGAGGCCTATGGCTGAACATGCCAGGGCGCCAGGGGCTGTAAATGGTCAGGTTCCTGACCCCTGGTGTCCTTCACCCCCCAACCCCCACACCCACCGCCTCTCACTGTATCTGGGGCCTGGGCTTCTCCTCACAGGGTCCAGGGCCTAGGCTGTACCCCTTACTGTGTGCAGGGCTTGGACTGCCCCCTTCACCATGTCCAGGAGAGGGGCTGCCGCCTCCCATCACCATGTACAGGAGACTCCTTCCATGTGCCTTGCCTGTCCATGGTGCATATGACTAGCCCTGTTGGGCCGCAGAGGCTGCCTGAGCCAGGCAGGTTACAGTGTAGCCATCTGGGGCAGGGCATCCTTGTGGATCAGGGTCCAGACCACACCTACAGCAGAGCTGACCTCTCAGTGCCCAGCTCCCTTGCAAACTGGCAGGCAGGCTCTGCGCCCTGTGCAGATTGGCGCTTTCGATGGCTGGTCTGTGAGGAGACAGAATTCTCAACTGGCTGGGGCTTGGGAAGGCCCGTCATGTCTGGATGTGGTGGGGCAGGGAGGTGGGGGCTGGCCTGCTGCAGGGTTGAGGGGTGGGGTGGGGGTGGTGAGCTTCTCGGTCTCTGGGGACATCTGAGCAGACCCTTTCCGAGCTGTGCCTGCCGGGTATTCTGCTCAGAGGGGAGGGTGGACTAGCTCTGCACAGCTCCGCACCCACCCCACATTGCGTGGTCCGTCTTTCTGGGTCCTCAGAGGGGGGCGGGTATTCTGACATCTGTTCAAGGGGAGGGTGCCCACTCACCTGGACTGCTCCACCAGTGATGTTGGGACCCACTGTATGCCCTGGATTATGGACACTGTATTTTTCCTTCCAGGGAGTGGCTGGGGATGCTGGGAGCCCAGGCCTGGCCGGGCCAAGAGGAGACCCTGGTTTGCCTGGGCCGCCTGGGCCACCGGGGAAAGGGAAGGATGGCGAGCCGGTGAGTGGCCTGGAGGCTCCAGGGGCTGTGCCCTGTGCCCAAAGTGCTGGCAGCAAGGAGCAGGAGGAAGCCTCCTGCCCAGCTCAGAGGTGGCGGTTGTTGGAGGCAAAGCTGCCACCCACACCCAAGGCCTGCCCATTTTCCAAAGTCCCTTCTCCTGGACTGGGCCTTCAGCAGGGCTGTCACCCTGCCCCTGAGCACCTGTGGCCTGGCACGTAGGGCCCAGCAGTCCTCACCTGAGGCCGTGACTGTCCTGTGTTGTTTCCCCCAGGGACTCCGTGGGCCACCTGGAGTACCTGGACCCCTGGGGAGCAAGGTGAGTGCTATTTTCAGTGCACCCTGGGCTCGGCTGCATGGGCCGTGGATGCTCACCATCAGCATGCCGGTCCGCCCGCCCTCCACTTCATGCTCACAGCTCCACTTCACCCACTCTGCCCGCCTGAAAGCTCAGGGCACTCGCTTGTCGGCACACAGTAGGTGCTCAGGGAATGCATGCTGCTTAAACGGGCACACAGTAGGTGCTCAGGGATATGTGATGATTCAATGAAGATACAGAAGACTGCAGGAGCAGATGGAACTCAGTGGTCTCCTGTAGGCTCGCACCCCCTGACCGGGCTCTCAGGGGTCTGTGACTTCTGCAAATGGAAAATTTGTGGCAGCCATGCATCCAGCTGGTCATTTGGCCAGCTCTCCGGGTAGTTCCAGCTTTTCCAACATGTTGCACACTCTTCATAGGCAAGCACCTGGGCTCAGCCTAGCTTCTGTCTGCACGGGGACAGCCAGCCATTCATGTGACACTCCTCACAGTGACTTTGTCTCCGTGGGGTGGCCTGACGCGGCCGAGCCCGCAGCACCCCGAGCCCTGCCCCATGGGCTTCCTAGACTGTGTTTCCTGGAGCGGCCAGCCCAGTCTTTCTCAGAGCACCTGGTGGCTTCGGACTGCTGACCTTGCCTCGTGGTTAGCAGCCCAGCGTGTGACCCGTCCTCTTCACATACCAGCGGTGCTTCAATGAGCAGCCCAGCACACACAGTTTGCACCTCCCAGGGCCCCGCGAAGGGAAGCACAACTATCAGGACTGGGCAGATTCTGGGGAGTGAATTCACTGGAGGGTTTAGATGCAGGTGGACGTGCCCACCATTATTTGGCTTATGGCCTCCTCCTTTTCAGAAAAACAAAACAAAGCAATCACTCGGCAGTCCCTCTGGAAATTAAAAACGATTGTACTTTGGTCCATAATCCAGGGTAAAGTATAGCTATCTGCTATGGCACCCCCCTGGATCATTCCCACACACACTCCCCCCACCACCACCACCACCCCATGAAGCACTAGTGTGGGTTCTGGGTAGGCAGAATGAGTTTGGGAGGAAGCTTGGAGAGGCCGGGAGAGATGGTCATGTGGGGTGGGGGCGGGGGCAGTGGAGGGCCAAAGTGGTGCCGTCGTCACTCACATTTGGATCCAGGGTCTAGCTTTGGGTACGGTTTGTCTTGAAGGCGCCTGGTCACCCTTGGTGGGCGTGGCCTGGGCAGTGCTGGACGAGGGTGCGGACACCCTCGGTGGACATGGAGGGGTCCGAGGACTCCCAGTGGAGGGAGTGGAGTTCCATGCAGCCTGGCTCCTTTGGACCTCTGGCCCTCTTCACCTGTGCGCTGACCTCTGCGTCTTACGTTGTCTCTTTCCAGGGCGACCGAGGGGCACCTGGCATCCCTGGCTCTCCTGGCAGCCGTGGCGACCCAGGCATTGGCGCTGCTGGCCCTCCTGTAAGTCTGTGCCCTCAGGCACGCAGTGTGCCCCCAGCTAACCAGAGCAGTTGGGTGGCAAGTCTGCCTGTGTTGCTGATGCAGGTGGTAAAACTTGGCATGTGTCTTGTGGGAGCCAGGCTTCTGGGTAGACCAAGCCTCCCTTGTGTGGTTCAAAGGCAACTGAGAGAGGTGAACTCACTCCCACTGTAAGTGAGAGCGAGAGAAAGCCAGACGCCTTCATCAACCCTTGCAGTCACAGAGCAGGCTCGTCACTGGGCTGGCTGGGGAAGGGGCGTCCTGTGGGGGGAAGAGTGTGCTTCCGTCACTCGAAATATTTCCAACACTCACTCACTGCTGTCAAGTCAGCCCCCGCGGCGGCGCGATCCTCTAGGACAGGGCAGAACTGCCCCTGCGCATTTCTGAGACCCACACTGTTTACTGGAGGAGAGAGCCCCGTCTTCCTCCCGGAGAGAGCAGCTTGTGGTTTCAAACTGATGACTTTGCTGTTAGCAGCCCAGCGTGTGACCAGTGCAGTCCCAGGGCTCCTCTATTCTCCCGCGAGTCCAGGGGAACACAGAAGTGAAATTGAGGAAGGCTGCCATCCAGTCCTCAATGCAAATCTGCGGTGTGCTCCTCACGTTGTGAATTCCACCGGAGAATCCCCACAGCCTGTCAGGAGTGCTTGCCTCCTCCGCGGAAGTGGTCCTTTGAGAGGGTTGCGACCTGTGTCTCTGAATGATGGTGTCGGCAAAAATCCAGAAAGTCCCACGGACTGCCAAATGGACAGACTGATGTGTCTCAGAAGAAGTTCGGCCAGAATGCCCCTTCAAGGGGACGATGATGGGATTTCATCTCATGTACTTTGGACCCATCACCAGGAGAGACCAGGCCCTGGAGCAGGAAGGACATCAGGCTCCGTAGACGGGAGGGGCAGCGAACAAGAGGAAGGGCCTCTTTGTCCATCCAGGAGATGGATGGACCCGTGGCTGCGACTGTGGGCTCAAGCACAAGCATAATGGTGAAGACGGGGCATGACGGGGCATTTCTCTCAGAACAGACCCAATGACACGTAACCACTCCAACAACCCAGTAACCAAGGAGGCCCAAGAGGAGAGCTGTCCGCTGGCTTTCACTCGAATTCTTCTAGAAATGAAGGTGCCCTTCTCTCAAAGCCAGTAATCCTTGGCTTTGAAGTATAGACACTCATTGCCATTGAGAATAGAAATTGTTAGAAATCTCCTTTCACAGCGAAAGGATCCTCTGTTTCTCACTCATTGTGCCTCATTTTCCCCCTTTGTAGCCCAAAGGGCACATGGAAAGGACCAGTGGTCCCCTGTACTGAATGCTCATCTTCAGGGTTGCTAGCTGTTTTGTCAGCCTGCGGTCTGAGCTTCCCTCCCTCCCTTCTTCTCCGAAGACACCCTGCCTGGTTCAAACCTCTTGGAAGTGAGCAGCTGTTCCCGACAGCTGTACCTTACTGTTGAGCAAAAGAAGTCAAATGCAGGTGCCCTTCATATGCCCAGCCATCCAGGTGCTCAGCTGAGCTCAGAAAGGTTGGAGGTGCAGGTCCAAGCCGAGGCCTGGCTGCAGACTTTGAAGAATGGGCCTGTGGGAATCCTGCGCTGCAAGGCCCCCCGCTGGCACATGCCAGGTCCCCGTGGGTCAGAACCAACTTGGCAGCAGCTGGAGCATGTTTTTAAAACCTCGTCCGACCCAAACTATCTACGTATTATTACTATTATTATCACCACCTATGTCGCTGTTGTTTTAATCCCGATGCACAATCTAATCAGACCCCAAGGCTTGTGACCTTGGTTCCAACTGGCTTAGACCCTGCTGGGCTTTGCATTCAAGCCGCATCCCTCAGGGGTGCCTCTCTGAGAATAAGACAGAAAGACCCCTTCTACAGCTCACAAGCTACACTTGGGACATGAAGACTCCTTTCCTCCTGACCTCTTCCCTTCCCTCTCCCCATCCGTCTCCTTCTCCCCTCTGCCTCCACACCCCAGCAGAAATGACCTCCCCTCTCACACCTGCCCATAGGCGACAGGCACTATTTCCATAGGAGCAGGGTCCGGTCTGCTATGCATCTCCCCTGCGATGGCTGGACCCTCCTGGGAAGAGCCACATGGAATCACCCCGGGACTGTCTGGTCTGGGTCTCTTTTCTTGAAGGCAGTCCTCAGCTTGGATTCCTGTTACGAAGGCCTGCCCTTCACTAGAGCACCCCTGCCTATGGGACCTTGGCTGTGTCCTGCCTGCGTCCATCAGAAGGCTCATGTGGCATGGGCCACAGAGAAACACAGTGGTTGGCTTTCATCTTCCTGAATCTTCCTTGTCACGGAGTCAGATGCTGCGGGAAGGATCAGAGCTCTGGATGGTGGGAGCATTGTAGGCGAGCGCCAAGGGTCACCCAACAGTAAATTCTAGGGACTTATTCAGAGAGAGACAGCTAGGACCAGGAGGACATCCAACTCTAGTGAGGGAGGGGCACTGCTTGGCTCTGATGGGCATTGAGAGCAGACATCCTGGGCAGTGTGAGCCAGAGTTACAATCCAGATCGTCTTCTGGCCGAATGACAAGCAGGCAGCCTGGAAGCAGGGACGTGGCAGGACGGCAGCCTGTGAGGTCATGTGCCTGGTTAAGGGTCCCTGCTCTTTCAGTTGCTGCCGGAGGGTCCCAGGACAGTGGCAGGCTGGTGTTTCTCATGGCCTGCTTGTGAACTTGCTTCCCCAGCTGGCGATCTGGTGCACAGTTGGAAGAGTAGCATGGAACCCTGGAGTATCAGCTGTCACCACCAGAATCTGCTTGTCCGTGGAGAAGATCTCTTGGGAATGGACTACAGTGAACCCTCGTTTATCGCGGTTCATCGGTTCTAGACCCTACCGTGATAAATGAAATTCCGCGAAGTAGGATTCCTTATTTGTAAATCAAATATTTTTGTAGAGCATAGAGGACATGAAAAAACACTCTTTAGTCACCATTACACTCGTATTACCCAATTTATTAAACAAAAAAGGGAAAATACAGTAAAACATTTTGGACGTTACAATTATCATTTATTATTATATTATTTATGGCATCTAGTTTACAGTATTACATATTTCACATACAGTATTATTATACATAGTTCTTACAAATACTGTAATCAATAGCCTATGAAATGACTTAAGGGATATACTCTACAGGTGGGTCGCTGTCTTTTTCCTCTGAAGGAACGGGTGTAGGCAGTGGGTGCTGTTACGCAAAAACTGCGATAGAGTGAAGCCAGCCGCGGAAGTCAAAGCGCGAAGTGGCGAGGGTTCACTGTATAGCGTCCTGCACTTGCCGGTCCTCAGAGATGACGAGTATCCCCTTTAGGGCCTGGAAGGAGCCTGGTGGCCTTGTGCGTTAAGTGTTGGGCTATTGATGACCAGGTTGGCAATTCAAACCCACCAGCCACTCCTCAGGAGAAAATGAGGCTGTCTGCTCCCGTAAAGAAAACCTGTGTACGATCGCTGTGGGTCAGAATCCACAGGGCGGCAGTGAGTTGGGTTTGGTCAGCTTCCATGTCAGGCCAGCACCATGGTCAGAAAAAAAGTCACTGCCCGTGGAGTCGATGCCGACTCACAGCGACCCTGCAGGACAGGGTAGAACAGGCCCTGTGGGTTTCCCAGACTGTCCCTGTCTGAGGAGTGCAAAGACCCATCTCTCCCTCTGAGAGGCGGGATTTCCAGCTGCCGACCTTGGGAATCAGAGCCCAACGAGCAACCACTTTTCAAACCCATCACAGACGTTAGCCTGGTGTCGAGGCTTTAATGGGGTGTCCAGGCTCCCACCTCCGAGAACTGGCTGCAAGTGAACCCGCAGAACCCCAGTCTGGGTGTGCCCCCTCCTTCCGTAGCATGGCACCTCCCAAGGTTGTGCCAGGTCAAGTCCTCAGCCAGAACACACAGCCGCAGTGCAGCTGTGGCTACTCTTCACCCCTCCTCCCACTTCAGCGCTCACCCCCCATGAAATATGTCCCACCCTCTGAGGTCCCACCTGGAGAGGAATTGGCTGGTTTTAGCTATGAGGCTGTGAATCAACTATTAGCCACCCCCACCCCCTGCCTTCACCACTCTGACTTATTAAAAGCTTCCGTGGTGAATGTAACCATATTGAATTTCCATAAATCCTGCCTTTGGCCCAGTGCCCACATGCTGATGGCCTGTGTTGGGGCCTATGCTGAGAGCAAATGTGTGGAAGGGGGAAGGTGGGGGCCAGGGGGCAGGCATGTGACCACCCTGCATGATGCCGGCACCGTGGGGTGCTGTGCTGGATTTAGAAGCACCAGCTTCCTCCACCTTGCTCCATTCTTGGAGCTGGCTCATCCTCAGCTAAGGGCCGCAGTCACCCCTGGAATCAGCGCTCCAGCGCAAGGAGTCCACCTGGAAAGTTGCGTCTGAAAGCATGCCCTTCATTCAGAAAACCACAGCCAGGGAGCCAATTCCAACTCACAGTCACCTCCCAGAGTCCTGCAAGGCACCTGGCTCACTGCTCCCTTGCTGCCCTCAACTCATAATGACCCCAGAGACAGATAGAACGCCCTTGTGGGTTTCTGGGGCTGTGCACCTCCGCCCAAACAGAAAGCCTCATCTTTCTCTCTTGGAGCAGCCAGTAGGTTCGAACACCAGTCGACACATCACCCACCAGGGCTCTTTAATCATCCACCTAGGAAGGAGCCAAGTGAGACAGGAAAGAAAGGTGGGCTCTTGAGCAGGTTACCGCTTGGGCATGGGAACTCACCGTCCACAAGGCCCGTGGGGGCCTCCTGGAGCCCAAGTGCACAAGCTCACAGTTGCTCTGCCAAAGGGGCAGTGGCTGAGCTGAGTTTCCGTGGACCTGGCCCTATCCTTCATTGGTGGTGACCTTGACCCCATCATGGGCCCTCAGCTGCCATACCAACCTTCTTCCAGGGACATTGTTCTTGGATTACCAACCCGGAAAGACGTTTGCTTTCCTGAGGGAGGACCACCAGCATGCCCTCACCTCTGATGTCTTCCTTGGGGCCCCGGGAAAGAATCCCTTTGTTGATGGGAAAAAATTAGGTCTTCAATGAGTTTATATCACCACTTCTGGTTGGGCTTTCTCAAGTCAGCCCACGACTTGCTCATTTAACACCTTGACACATCTTTCTGCCTCTTGTTTTCCTGTAAGCTGGCAATTGAACCTAGAGGCTTAATTGGATTCAAGACCGATGTCTTTGGCAAGACTTCATAGGCAGTGGGGTGTCCCATCAAGACCCGTGTGATGTTTGGTCCATTCGCGGTTGGTGATGTTAGCCCCCTCAATGTCCAGTGTTTGGGCCAATTAGGACTTCCAAGTGCTTCCACTTGGTGTTCTTGGGGTTCTAGCGAGTGCTTTTCCTGTTTATAATTTATCAGCTGGTTTGCTGTTTTTGTAACAGTTTTATTTACCTCTAATTTACCAATCGTACAATGCAGCGCTTCCCTCATATCAAGAAGAGTGGCACAGCCATCAACGGGAATCCGTGTTAGAATGGTTTCCTCTGTGCGCTCCCCAGCCATCTCCCGACATGCCCCTGGGGACCCATTAGTCCAGGTACTGTCTCCATAGATTGACCGATCCTGGATTTCACATACAGAAAGACATACTAAGCCAAAGCAAAGAACAATAACAACAACAAGAACGTCTTAAACTAACAACAACGACAAAATAAAAGAGAGAAGCCTCAACTGAAAGGAAAGCTGAAGACATTAAAACCCGGGGCAAATGCACAGTGGTCCTAAGGGAGCTCCAGTGATGATGACGAGGCGCCTGTCGCACTGTAACCCCCCCATCTGCAGTAGTCCACCCTAGGAGCCAGTCAGAGAGCAAGCGCCTTCCTGTGCCTGGATGCTTCTATCGAGAGATGCACCCCTTTCTCTCTTGCTTGGAGACCCACTAGCTCAGTGCCCACGGAAACAGGCAGTAAGCGCTCAAGCCCCTCCCCACGACTGTTTCCAGGTGAAGAGACAGCCGGTTGCTTAGCGTTCTGCCAGGGTGGCCAACTGGTCCTTCTTTGTTTCCAGGAATACTCTGAACTTAAGGGTCTTTTTTTAAATTAAAAGATCATTTTATTGGAGGCTCTTACAACTCATAACAACCCATACATCAATTGTATCTAGCATATTGGTGCATATGTTGCCATCATTCTTTTCTAGACATTTTAAAAAAAATTATTTTATCGGGGGCTCATACAATTCTTACCACAGTCCATACATACATCCATTTTGTCAAGCACATATGTACATTTGTTGCCCTCAGCATTCTCAAAACATTTGCCTTATACTTTAGCCCTTAATATCAGTGGCTCATTTTCCTCCTCCCTCCCCACTCCCTCCTCCCTCATGAACCCTTCATAATTCATAAATTATTATAATTTTGTCATAAGTTACACAGTTCATTGTCTCTCTCTGCCCTCTTCTCTGCTGTCTATCCCTCAGGGAGGAGGCTATACTTAGATTCTTGAATTTGGTTCCCCCTTCTACCCCACATTCCCTTCACCCTCCAGGCATCGTCCCTCTCACCACTGGTCCTGAAGGAGTCATCTATGTGGATTCCCTGTGTTTCCAGTTGCTATCTGTACCAATGTACATCCTCTGGTCTAGCCAGATTTGCAAGGTAGAATTAGGATCATGATAGTGGGGGGAGGAAGCATTTAAGAACTAGAGGAAAGTTATATGTTTCATCATTGCTACCCTGCACCCTGATTGGCTCGTCTCCTCCCCACAAAGAACTCAAGGATTTAAGGACATTCGGTTTTCAATATTTTGTGTTGTTTCTGCCTTGTGAGGTACAAATTGAGCCACCATCAGCCAGTGGTACCCTACTCCTTAAACAAACAAGCAAAGCCCACAGCCCTCAACTTGATTCTGACTCATGGATGACCTACTTAGGGTTTCCAAGGCTGTAAATCTTTACGGGAGCTTGGTTAGCAACCCACCACCTAACCCTCAGCGCTGCCAACACGAACCTATTCAAAGGGTCTCATGAGAGCATTTTCATGGAATTGCACCATCTCTCCGGTGCAGCAGCATAGACGCCCATTCAGCAGTGTCTACTCAGCTTGCCAATAGCTACGTTCATTCTGCTTTTTCCCTTCCCACTCATCTAGCTGGCTGCTGGTGCTGTAGTGGTAATGCATTGGGCTGCTGACTACAAGGTCAATGGTTCAGACCCACCAGCTGCTCCACAGGAGAAAGATGAAGCTGTCTACCACTGTAGAGAGTTACAGCCTTGGAGACCCCCAGGGGCTGAGCTATTCTGCCCTCTAGAGTCCATACGAGTCAGAGTGCACTTGCTGGCAAGGAGGTGAGTTGGCTCCTAAGTGCCTTTGATGAAAAGCAAAGAAGATGCGAGGAGTTTTCTTGCTCCCTGTGAGGCGAAGCTGCCCTAGCATGTGTGTTTCCTGCTGGAACTCGGATCAGTCATCTCTCCAAGGAATCAACACTCTTGGAGTGGAGATCGGTGCTAAGGGAACAAACCTGGACCAACAGGCAATATCATGATAAATGAGAAAATGTTGAAGTTGTCCAGGATTTCAACTTACTTCGATCCACAATAAATTCTCATGGAAGCTGCAGTCAGGAGATCACAAGGTGCGTTGCACTTTGTTCTAATAATCGGCATTCTGTGACGCTCACCTTCTGATGTGATCACTGAAGACAAATGGGTGCATAAGCAAATGTGGTGAAGAAAGCTGATGGTGCCGGCTAGCAAAAGATATAGTGTCTGGGGTCTTAAAGACTTGAAGATAAACAAGGAGCCATCTAGCTCAGAAGCAACAAAGCCCACGTGGAAGAAGCACACCAGACTGTGTGATCATGCGTTGTCGATGGGATCAGGTATCAGGCATCTAAGACCCAGAACAAAATCATACCCAATGTGAATGGGGGAAGGTGGGCATGGAGTGTAGACCCAAATCCCATCTGTAGACAATTGGACATTCCCTCACAGAAGGGTCACAAGGAAGAGATGAGCCAGTCAGGGTACAGTATAGCACCGATGAAACACGCAACTTTCCTCTACTTCTTTAATGCTTCATTCCCCCCACTATCATGACCTCAATTCTACCTTACTGATTGGATTAGACCAGAACATGCACACTGCTACAGATAAGAGTCTGCAACACAGGGAATCCAGGTTACATAAACCCCTCAGGGCCAACAATGAGAATAGAGATACCAGGAGGATTAGGGGAAGGTGGGGGGAGAAAGGGGGACTCGATCACAAGGATCAACATATAACCCCCTCCCAGGGGGACGAACAACAGAAAAGTGGGTGAAAGTGACAGAAGAGTAAGATATGAAAACAATCTATAACTCTTCAAGGGTACACGAAGGAGGGAGGGCAGGGGGAGGAGGGGGGAAATGAGCTGATATCAAGGGCTCAATTAGAAAGAAAAATGCTTTAAAAATGAGGATGGCAGCATATGTGCAAATGTGCTTGACACAATGGATGAATGTATGGATAAGAGATGTAAGAGCCCTCAATAAAAGTATTTAATTTAAAAAATGCATTGCGTTAGGTCAACCTGCTGCACAAGACCTCTTTAGAATATTGAAAAGCAAGGATGTTACGTGAGGACTACGGTGCACTTGACCCAAGCCTTGACATTCTCAATTACCTCCTATGCCTGTGAAAGTTGGACATGGAATAAGGAAGACAGAAGATGAAATAATGCATTTGGATTGTGGTGCTGGAGAGGACTATTGAAAGTACCATGGACTGCTAACAAGACAAACCGATCTGCATTGGAAGAAGCAGGGTCGGAATGCTCCGTAGAGGGAAGGATGGCAAGCCTTCGTCTGACATATTTTGGACATGTTGTCAGGAAGGACCAGTCCCTGGAGCAGGACATCATGCTTGATAAAGTAAAGGTGTGGGGGAAAAAGAGAAAGGCCCTTCACAAGATGGGTGGACACCGTGGCTGTAACTATGGGCTCAGGCAAAGGCGCCATCGTGAGGACGGGGCAGGGCCCAGCGCTGTTTCGTTCGGTTGTGCACAGGGTCGCTATAGTTTGGAACCGCCTCAGTGGCACCTGGCGAGAACAATCAGGGATCATGACTCGTGGACAGACACACCAACTTAAAAGCATGTTACAAAAGAGGGCTGGGCCTGCTGTGAGCAACGATGCTCGGAAGTCGCTTTGTAACACACACCCCCGTGGGCATATGCCATGTCTCTTAATAATATAGCAACAAAACAGCTGTGCAAATGGCTCTAACCGGTGGGTGCTGGTCTGGGTCTCTCCTCCGGGATCGTGCCCTGTTTCTCAGTGCACAGGGCCCGGCGATTCTTTGCCTTCAGATGGCGCTCCAGGAGACGGAAGCTCAAAGGGACTGCTGCCGCATTCGTTGGGAGTCAAGCGGCCAAGCCCTGCAGAAGCTGACGCAGAAATGACGGTCATCAGAGACCGATGGCAGACATCTGCTTCGACTGGGGGGATTTCTTCCCCCCCAAACCCAATATGAGGTCCTTGGCTAAATTCACTCACCAGTGGCTTCGCCCTTAAGGAAGGTCGCAAAGCCTCCTTTCTGGTTAGAAGCCGGGCTTGGGCCATTGGACTTGAGAATGACATGGCTGGAGGGGTGGGGAGGAAGGGGGCTGTTCTCAGTTTGGTCTCAGTGACGGGGGAAGGAGGGCATGGTTTAATCAAGAATGCTAAGGTTAGCCGATGACTGGCCCGTCTATATTTCTCCCTCCTCTTCTCTCTATGAGATGCCCTAATGGTGCTGTGAGTAGGCCTGGGGCTGATAACCATAAGGTCAGCAGTTCAAACCCCCCAACTACCCCGCAGGAGACAGATGAGGCTGTCCGCTCCCAGAAAGATTTACAGTTTCAGAAACCCACGGTGGGGTTGGGGGGAGTTCTCCTGTGTCCTATAGGACTGCTGTGTGTCAGAATTGACTCCGTGGCAGTGTGGTTTGGGATGATATTAAACAGCCCCAGCAGCTAGGTGAGGATGGGCCCAGAGAGCAAATTCTCAAAGGAAGCGTTTCTTCGTTAGGAATCTCTCTCTGAGGTGCCTCAGAAGAAAGTCCTGGCAGCTTCCCTGCTGGAAACCCAGCCATGGCAGATTTGCTGCGCAGCACAGTGGGACTTTGACACACAAGAGGGCCAGGACTCGGAGCCGACTTGCTGGTCACTGTGTGTGCTTGTGTGCATGTGCACATACATTGTAATTCTGAGGCTCCCCAGTGCTTCCCCATTCCTGTCCCTTGACTCGAGTTGTAACCTCTCAGGGAGGGCCTCCTGTCTCTTTCTGTGCAGCCCAAACACAAAGTTCTACCTTTGTACCTGCCTGGAGGGAAACCCGACATGAATGATCACCTGCACCAAGTGCAGAGGACATGCAACTTAGAGTTCAGTGCTCCTCGATGTCGCTGGAGACTCTCGGGGGTCAGGCACCCTGGCCGGACGGTCCAGCCCCACTGCACTAAACTCTCGCCTGTCTTTGTCCCCTAGGGCCCTGCTGGACCTCCTGGAGAGACGGGGCCAACGGTACAGTAAGGCTTATCTCCCGGGCTGGGGCTGGGATGGGGGGAATTCAAAGTCAAAGAGAGATTAAAGGGGAGGGGGCTCATTGTACACCTAGAAAGGGTCGGATGGGGATACGTCTTCCTGGGCATGGTGTCCACATCACCAATAAAACAAAAGTGCTGGCTAAGCAATGAGAGGGGCCAATGGGCAGTTTCTGGATAGACCTCCCATTCAACAGGGGGCAGCTCCCACAGTTACCGTTGGCCTGTGGGATGACCACAGGGGAAGGGTCCCTGGGCCCTCTACTTGGGGTGCTCATCGGTGATCCCCACCCTCTGATGCTTGTGGGAAGTCTGACAGAAAAGAGATCTCCAATGATGGGCACTCAGTGGCATTGGGGACACTGGTCTTGGTGTCCCTCAGCATGGTGACTCACATGTTAACCTCTCCTCCACTGGGGACAGACTGTCTCAGCACAGTCCCCCCAAGCCCCCGTGGCTCTCCCAACTCTTCCCTCTTCTCCACTGTCCAAGGCAGAGAACCCTCTCTGTACCCTGTGGTGAGTGTGCACCCACCTGCCATGTCTTAGGGTGGTGCTGGGCCTAGTGGTGATGAGTTACTGCACTGAGCAATGGGTGACACTGACCCCAGTGATGTCACTGTTTGGTGCACCTTCCCCGGCAGTGCCAGCCTTTCCCCTCCCACCCCTCCCCCAGCCACCACACCCCCTGCAGCCACTGTGCTGTCACCCCTCTGACAGTGTCATTCCCTTGGAAGTCACCTGTTCCATTTCCGGAGTCTTTTTCACTGGACGAGGGAGGGGGGCATGTGTGTGGCCCCAGCTCACTTGTGAAGTTCCCCCTTGGACACGCCGGGCACAGCTCGGGCTGCAGGGCACCCGGTGTGCCTCTATGCCTTGGCCAGCAAGCCCAGACGGTGCCGGGAGTGCTTGGTCCTCATGTATCAGAGCCCTGGCATTTCCATGGTGTCTGCATGATGAAAGCTAGCGCATCCACGGTCTTGCCTGAAATCCGAGGGTGTCTCTGCTCCTCCCCAGGGATCTCGTGGCTCCCCTGGATTCCCAGGACCTCAGGGACCAGCTGGCCAGGATGTAAGTACAGCAGAGCAGATGTGGCTCAGGCAGGGTCCTGGGGACACCCCTGGAGGCCCTTCTCATGGAACTGACCACCAGTGGGGCCCCTGGAGCACCCAGCCAGCTTCGTCATTCAGCCCAGAGCTCTCCTGGGAAGTCTCGTTGAGGGATGGGCTCCATTGGTCCCTGGCTGCCCGCTCAGCCTGCGTTGGTTTGTTTGGTCCTTCATTACGGAGCTTGCCAGTTGTTCTGCTCCGTGCGCTCTCACTTCCCATGTCCCGTTCTCTTCCTTAGGCTTTGGTGTTAAACTCCCAGAGCCTCCTAAGCACCTGGGTGTCCTAGGTAATATCTCCGATTGTACACCAACTACCTTATATCCCTGCTCAGTCAGCGCAGCTCCGGACAGACACCACCTTCTCTGAGCCCCGATTCCCAACCCCTCTTCCATGGAAGGGGCTCTGCACTGCTACACTTATCCTCCCCAGCTGCCATGACCTGACCCTGGCTCAGGTTGGCCTGAGCCCCGAGAGGGTCACGGCCTTGTCTTGTGCATCTGTACTTCCTGTAGCCTAGCAGCAAGCCCCGGACCCTGGTGGCATTGTGGTTATGCATCAGGTTGTTAACCTGAAAGTCAACAGTTCAAAACCACCAGCTGCTCCTCAGGAGAAAGATGAGGATTTCTTCTCCTATAAAGAATTACCATCTAGCAAACCCACAGGGGCAGTTGTACCCTGTCCCATAGGGTCCCTTTGAGTCGATCAGCAAGCTGGGTGCCTGGGAGGCATCTGAACATACTTATTGATGAAGGGGATGGGTGACGGCCATGAGGTCTTAGAGCACAAAGGTATCTGGAACCAGCAGCAGTGCCTGCCTCTTTACACCGCTAGCAGTTTAGTTCCTTGTAAGCAGGGGCTATAATACATTACCACTCTCCCTCCACCCCCAAATTTTATCAAATTGACGACAGTTGGCTATTCTCCTACCGCTGCTGCAGATACTCAGCTTTCCCTGCCCTGCTGTAGACATGCAGCCCGACCGCCCAGTCATTGGACATGCCCTCCTCCTCTGTCAAGGAGCCCTGGTGGTGCACCTGCTGGCGGTTCAAACCCACCAGCAGCTCTTCGGGGACCAGATGAGGCTGCCTACTCCCATGAGGGTTTAGTCTCGGAAGCCCTGCAGAGGGCCACTGTGAGTCAGCGCTGACTTCACGGCAAGGGTTCCCGTTCCACTGTTTGCAAAGCCAGGCCTTCTGCCTGTGTTGGCAAAAGATGATGCACATTAAGAACAGGTGTGTGACTGAATGTGTGTGCGAGTGTGCATGTATGACTATGAGCATGTGACTGACTGTGTGCATGTGACCAAGTGTGCGTGTGAGTGACTGGGTGTGACTGAGTATGTGTGCATGTGTGTGACTGAATGTGAGTGTGTGTGTGTTACTGAGTGTGTGGGACTGTGGGACTGTGTGAGTGTGTGTGGCTGTGAGTATGTGTATATGTGTGTATGCATGTGTGTATGACTGAGTGGGTGTGTGACTGAGTGTGAGTGTGACAGTGTGTGACTGACTGTGTGAGTCTGTGTGTGTGAGTGACTGGGTGCTAGTGTGAGCGTGTTTGAGTGAGTGTGGGTGTGTGTGGGTGTGGGTTTTGTTTGTGTGCTTTGGCTAGGGGAGTCATTGGAGGCAGAGCCGACTGGCTCCCCCCTCGGCCACCCTGGCCATGTCCTGGGCAGCTCTGGGTACTTGGTGGAGAGGGGGAAATCCAGGCACCTTCACGGCGGCCCCTGGACTGGAGCGGTGGTCCTGTGGGTGGGCGCTGTGCGCGGGGTGAAGCTGATGCTGCTCTCTTGCTCTTCTTCTTCAGGGCGTGCCAGGAAATCCAGGAGAAAGAGGGCCGCCTGGCAAGCCGGTACGTCACCTGACCTTTCTGGCTGGGTTTTGAGGACCTGCCGGGGCTCTGGCGAAAAATGAAAACGTGCCTCAGATGGTTCGAGAGGCTTGATGCAGGGCCTCCATGCAGAGGGGTGGGCAGGGGACCCTGACGAAGGAGGCAGAGACCCCGAGTAGGAGCACATGGACAGCCTAGAAAGCCTGGGAAAGAGGGGTGGCATTTTCAGAATCAAGAGAGAACTGGCGTGATCCAAAAGGAACTGTCAGGTAGCACCCAGAGTTGAGGGGTCCAGGCATCCACCAAAGAGCTTAGCCCGGCGGGGCAGGGAGGGAGCAGCAAAGAAAAACCCTAACCTCAGCATCTCCCCAAAACCTGTGCTTCCAGAATTGCCTTGTTGGTCCAGCTCTGCCCAAGGCCAGCAGGGCAGGGAGCCAGTGACCATCATCCCCAGGGCAGGGCAGGGCAGGGTGTAGAGGCTGGCACACACAGTGGGAAGGCCAGCACCTCCCACTCTCCCACCTTGTGCAAGACAGGTACCTTCCTACCTCCGGCATTGTGGGTGCTGCGAAATGCTTATGGTTTATGCTCCTCCTGGCTGCTTGGTTCTGGGCAGGCAGCCCCAATCTGGCCCCAGGTCCCTGGACTCAGCTCCTGCATCCACTATCAGGCAAACTCTCCGCCCAGGTGGCCAGCACCAGGGATGCTCCAAGGTCCAGCTGAGTCAGCATGTCACAGGGAGACCCCTATAGGGTTTATTCTTGTAGGCATGGAATGCCCCAGGGATAAATTTAGTCTTGCTGTCTTTAGCACCCCCAGAGACCACAGAGACCCCCCGATGCCCTGGGGTTTCTGATCCAAGTCACTTAGTCACAGCAGACTATCTGGCAAGATCCCAGCCCCCAGTAAACAGAGATGGTTTTAGAAGGCAGGGTAGTCTAGTGTTTCCTGGTCACCCCCCAGGAGCGAGGGAACGGCCATCCCTTTTTTCAGGATGTGCAGGCTTTAGAGAACCCAGCCCACGGCCTTCAGCCTTGCTTCCTGGCCACAGCTTAGCGAGCAAAGAAAAGGGCGGGGTCTGTGTGTCCCAGTAAGATGTGCAGGAGATTGGGGGATGCAGGCTGGGCAGGGAAAGAGAGAGAGAGAGAGAGAGAGAGAGAGAGAGAGAAAGCTGGGAGGTGAGGAAGTGAGCTCAGCTGTATGTAGCCTGGGCCTGACCCCATGGTGGCTCTGGAGTGTGAAGTATGATCCGCCAGTGGGAGAGGCAGCTTTCCTCTGTGCACATTGGTCTGTCGTTGGCCGAGGACGGCTCTTTATGGGAGAACATTGTCTCCTTTGAGTTTCCAACAGGTAAGGGGGGACCAGGGCAGGACACAGGCTGCGCCTTCTACTCCCCCAACTCTTCTAACTCATTGAGCCACCTACCCGACCTGGCAGGTGTAAGCAGCCACTGGTAGGCAGGGGGCAAGGGTCGCCCATGCAGACCTGCACCTGCGTATCTCCAGAAGCTCCACAACATATACAGAGAAGGGTGAAGACAAGACCCCAGCTTCACCATCTCCAAGGCTTCTCCATGCCTAGACTGGAAATCCATTCCTTGCTTTCTCTCCTTGGTACCCAGCCAAGCTGCCCAAGAAGGCTCACTCTTATTATATAAAGAGCATTGGTGGCAGCATAAAGCTGTCCCCCTAAATGACAAGTCAGCAGTATAAACCATACTGGTTTTAACCCTATGGCCCCTCCCTCCTTAGTAATCCCCCAAGGGAAAAATATAGATGCTTCAAAATGTCAGCTACTTCCATTTTCCCGAGGGAGGTTTGAATCCATCTCTATTAAGAAGGTTGGCCGTTCTTCAGAGAATCTCACTCAGACCCCAGGGCTGGGGCGAGGTGGAGTGTGGAATGGTGCGGGGAGTGGGGGGGGGAGGGGGGGGCGGGGCTTTGCCTTGTGTGAAGCAGCGTCATCCTTAGCGGATTCTCACAGAAGAGGGAGCAGTCCTCCAGCACCTCAAATCTGTGTTTACTTCATCCCAGTCACCCTTGGGTGCCCTTGCCTTTGTTGTGATGGCCAAAAGGGTTGGCCAAGAACTTGAGGGTCCCCACAGAGAAATCAGCACACGGCTCCCCCTCCACCACAACAGTGGGTCCCCTGTGCCTGCTCCCATTGGACACGGCGGGAATGACATTTCCCGGGAGGAGTGCCAGAGAAGGGGGCTAGCAGCATTGGCTTGGTTTAAGGCTCCCGGAGATGCCAGACTGGATTCGTAGCTCTCAAACTCCACCAAGAGACACTCTTCCCAGCAAGCCCCATGGGGCCACAGGCTTCCTGTGTCCAGAGGAAAATCTAGGGCCTTCCCCTCACAGTCCTCAGACGCTCCTTTCCCACAGCACAAGTTTCCAGAAGGACCCCCAGGCCCCAACTCCAGTCTGAGGTCCCCTCCTCCCGTCAGCTGCCCGCCCTCTGGACCCCCTGTTCCTTCCCAGCCATGTGCTCCTTGCACCCCAATGGGATCCCAGCCTCCAGCCTATCTCAGACCCTGGGCCACCTGCATTTTCCAGTCTCAGTGGCCTCGGGTGTCAATCCAGGGGCCTGGCAAAGGCTACCTCCTGTCGCAGGCTTTGGCATACTCTTGATTTCCCTAAATCCCCTTTCCAGACTTAGAGGCTTTCAACCCAGAATGACAGGCAAGGTAGGAAAGGCAGCCTCCCCCATGGAGCTGAGGACCTTGGATGAAACACACAGCAGGCTGTGCATGGC